TACGAAAGCGAGAGGTAGAACAAGTCCCCGTGATCATCAGCTTTCACCCCAGCCCCACGTCCAAAGACACCTACGACTGGAGGCAGCAGAAGGGCTGAAGCTGGTCTTAGCTCCGCATTTACCTGACTGCGAGAAAAACTGTGAGCGCCGCCAGTTGTTGCGAACCCTAAGCGGAACCGCAGCCCCACGGGGCGGCTCTGCAGGCAACGGCACGGAGACAAAATAAGAAACACAGCGTGGTCAAAGGCGATGATGGACTCTCAGACCCCAGCCACCTCGGCCACAAGAACGATTTTGACTACAATCGCTTTGGCCCATCGCAGCTAGGTTACAACGGACCTGCAGATCTCATGGACTGCCCGTATATAAATGCTACTGTTGTAACATGGCACCTGACCTTACATGAGAGCTCTAGTAAACTAATGCTAGTCAAGGGCAGCCACTCCTTCCAGTCTTTGCATGGTGCTCGCATTCATTCCTATTGCAGATACACATTTTAAAGGATTATGTGATCCTTTCAGTGCTTTACGTGCTGTGAACACTAGAGAGCAGCCAAGTGTTTCAGCATCACTCAGAAAATAGGTGAGAGACCTACAACCTGTTACTTGATGTTCGGATTGATTCGTGCCTAACATAAAATGATACTGTTCTCAAAGCCTGTTTGGAAAGCACCCCCTGCACTTAAAACAAGTGAGACTTCTATTCTCTTTCAGACAATCCTGTTTTCCAGAGTGGATCACCTTCAGTAGTTTCAATCTTGAAAACATTAGGATAATCATTATGTATTACCTATACATAAACTAACAACCTAGTAAGTTCTCAGGGGGAAGAAAACTTCAGATGATTTTTCTCTCTCTCTTTCTTTCACAATACCTACATATATGCATCTCTAAAATCAATATAAAATCAAACTACTAAACATTATCAATCTCAAGCATAACTTTGTCATGAAGGCAAAAAAAAAAAAGTTCTGCTTTGCAAGAACTCGTGATGGGCACAGGTCAAATTGAGGGATGTGGCCAGATATGCGTATTGTTCATCTATGAAAAGGAGCTCCACATGAGCAGCTGAGTGCCAAATTCATCTCCAGAAGTTTTTACTGTGAGATAAAACCAATTGCTAAGCCATATTCATTTGTGAGCAGCAGTACTAATAAAATATAATACTCATTGATATAATACAGCTTTTATTGCTAGGCCAGGTAAGTGCAAGATAGGGCTCTCCCTGCCCCCCCTCTATTGTGTCACAGTTCTGCTGTTGTGTTTAAGGGCAACAGCCAGAAGAGTCCTTTGCATCACAGAAGCCACACTACCAATACAATCAGATGCAACTAGAAAATAACCATTTTAGCTCCAAAACCTAAATCCAGGTCGTTGATTAGGCACTTCTCCCTGAACACCACACACACATATCCAGTTAACTGTCCAGCTGAGTTCTCCAAATGCTGTTTGCTCACCTTGTAGGCCAGAATTCTGCAGAGTAACTTGGCTGGTCTCAGGTAGTTTCTTTAAAAATGGCAATACTACACTCCCCTCTTGTTCCAGGGCTTTTGGTTTCATCACCTGTTCAGACGTTTGGGAGCAGAAAATAGCATTCCAAAATCAGCAGGTTCAATCAAAGGTTAACTTAAACCCTTTCTACTTATTTTCTGAATCAACATTATCAAAGATGAAGCCTCTATCTCCGGAATTACAACATGGAGTTGCAGTACTGAAGTCCTGGCAATAACCGGTAGCTGTTTGTTGTTGACATTCACACTGCTCTGCACACCAAAGCTGATCCTAACCCAGGAACAACATCTAACTTACCTGACAGAACAGTATGGTTGTGGCCATTTGCCACCACCTGCACTTGTTCAGCACTTCAAGGGGACTACGAGGGTAAGCTCCACTGTCTACACCTTCTGGATACTCTGCCCTCCCGACACACGGTGGGACTGGGGTTTGCAGGTTAAGTTCTCATTTCTGCTCCAGCCAGTTTACAGGTTCAAATGCTACAAGCAGACACTGGGGAGTTCCTTCGGAGGGGGAACTCTCTGATGACCATAGGATTTGGCACAGAAACCATCCTCCAGGGTCATTCCCTGGCAGATTGTTTTGAATGAACTCCTGAAGTGACATTATGTAGAGAAAAATACCAATTTGCACAATAAACATTTCCGTGTGAGATCTTTCTTCTTTTTTTATTTTGTTTTCCACTCTCTCTCTTTCTTGCCCATATGTACCTCCGGTGTAGCAGGAAGCTCTGCTTCCTTCTGCTGCTCCATTTCAGGTTTCTTCACATCTTTCTCACTTGAAGCAGCTTCCTCTGAAGGGAAAGGACTGGGAAGAAATTCTAATCTCTTCACAACAGGGCTGGCACAAGCTGCAGTTGACTTGAATTGCTTTTGATCTGAACCTAATCCACACATACAAGAAATAATGTTGCAAGGTTAAGACATTTTTTCAAATAAAACGTAGACCTATTTCTTACAATCCAATTTCTTACTGGATATACTATGAGCCCATAAACTGTATGTTTTGAAAAAACAATCTTCTTTCTTCAACACAGGTAAAATTAATCTCTCAGAGAAGACAAGGCTTTAAGGGTGAAATTCACCTGACAAAATGTAGGTGCTTACACTTGACTTGGGCATCATGGGACACCCTTCATCGTCAACGAAGACAGAGAGGCAGTTCTTGGGGAAGAGTCACCCAAACTATTTCAGACACTCCTCTTTGGCTGAGATGAGCTGTAGCCTACAACGTGCCTACTGAGGCACGCTGATCTCTTTACTGAAGTTATGTGATGAATCTTATCCTAAGAAGCTACCCAGACAAGTAGCTATATCACAATTAACATGGTCTCACTGTCAGCACTGGAGGATATTGCAGCTTGCCTGTTTCCACTAAACCAGGGCAGTCAAACATCACACAGCAAACAAACTGTGCTAACAGGAAGCCTTGGACTGGAATAACCTAGTTGTCATTCAGTTCTTAAAAAAAACAGTAAGTTGATGCTGGTTTATGGGAGAAGGGACCAGGAATGCACAGGCCTATAGCTGAGGACTGTGTCAGCTAAACTACTGTCAGCTGGTACCACCACTGGAAGCAGAGCAGTTTCCAGCATCCCAGACAGTGCACAAGCACCCAGACATCTCTCTCTAACTTCCTAAAACAGAATCTCAGCTTCAGATCCTGTCCCGAAAACAACCACAGCAGCAGCTTCCAAATGTACCTTGTTGACAGGCTAGGAGAGTGAGCTAAGGAAGAGATGCACCCCAAGGCTCCACTAAGAACCTGCATGTGAGCAGAGACAAGAGTTGGTCCTGCTGCCAGGCAGATGCACACCACTTTGGAGCAGCTCCCACACCATTAGTGGCATAGGGGTCACAGCATGGAAGTATCTGGCTTGTACTGAACAGCAAAGGAGGTTGCTTATTCTACAAGAAGGTGTCACAGTTTGGACCACATCTATCCCTACAAAGCAGACATAATGAAAACCCATGTTCCTTTACCATTTCAATTTTTGCAATGCTATCTCAGTTTTCCTTGCCAGCCAATATTAAACTTTGCTATCAATACTTAAAGTTTAGCATTTCTCACAGGTGTGGAGCCTATGATCACAAGGTAGCTTTGTGATTTGTAGACAAGTTTCACCAGCTCATCACTGCTGACTCGAGAGGAGAATTTGGTTGGTTCACCACAAGATTGCAGCTTCTACATTACCTGCCAGGTGCAATTCAAGGTCGTTAACCTCTGTGCTTTGGCATCTATGAGCCAAAGTAATTAAGTCAGCTGATGAGCCCTTGCTAACAGCCCATGTGCTTCACAGTCTTGCAGCACATCAAGAAAAGGCTGGATATGCTTCTCATCTTGGGGGAATGGTACCCCACTGATATTTGAGGGTAAAGCTCAATTGTTTAAGTCACATTTATCCCCAACAAATAGGAGCACTATGCTTATATACCAATTACAGCCAGAGGTCTCATTTAAATACCTACTTTAAATAGTACTTTTCAGTTACCCATACCAAGCCGAACTTTGATAGACCCATTTTAAAAAACGAGCAACAAAAAAACCCTATGAACTTAGTATGACAGCAGGCATTAGATAAAATGCCTACTCAAAGGTAATGTTTCAGAAAAACCCTTTTAAGGAAAATAGCTTCAAATTTTACCAGCAAATTCCTTTCCCCAGATTAGGAATCACGCATAAAGGCTTTAAAGCAGAAAATCAGGAGTGTGCACAATATTGTCCATTTAAAGCCCCTACGAGGACTGAAGTGCCCCTTCTTATCCTCCTTCCCCATTTCTTAATGTCTTGGGGGAAAAAAAAAGTGTTAAACAGAAGCTATTACTGACTGATAGTTTCTGCTCTGATTGCTTTCTGGTTACAGCACGCTGTGGCACCAGCTTTTCACACACAAGCGGCAAAGCAGACAACTCACATCCCAAGCAACGTGCAGTCAGGTGTGTCATTTCAACCACAGAATGACAGAACAGCCCAGGTTGGAAGGGACCTCGAAAGGTCATCTGGTCCCACCTTTTGTGGCAAAGGGAGCCTGGATGAGATTATCTAGCACCCTGTTCAGTCACACCTTGAAAACCTCCAGCCATGGGGACTCCACCATATCCCGGGGAGGTTGTTGCACTGAATGATCAGCCTTACTGTAAAAAATGTCTTTCTTATGTCAAGATATCCGATATCTTCTGCATTTTCTAATAAACCCTCTTGGTGCCGCTGCAGATGCACTTATCGGACTCCTGCTGCAGGCTGGGCCTAAACCCCAGCGCGGGGTGGGCAAGGGCAGGGGGAAGGGCAGCAGCAACAACCCACCTGGGGACGGGCACACCGGGCTCACAGGTCCTGCACTTCCAGGGCTAGCCTCGACCTGTTTGCTGGCGGCTCTATCTGCTTCCACCGGTGAGGCCTGCAGAGAATAATGCAGTAGAAACACAGTGAGTACAGTGGAAATAAAAGTATGTGTTAATTCCTCAAGGCAGTACTTGCTGCTTCTTTGTAATGTGTTTGAACCAGACTGGTTCAGAGCTCAGCAGGGAGCTGGGGAGTACGTTTCAGAGCAGTACGTGCTGCTCGGGTGTTGAATCACTGGGCTTTAATCTCCTTTTCAAACCGTTCATCAGCAACCATCATGCAGTTGGTTTGGAATAGCTCCTACAAGCTTTTAAAATTGTAGGATATCTTGGATTGTGTTAGCTGGAGATAAGCATACATTTCACCCCTAGTTTCCTCTTCCAGAATAACACAAAAACGTATGCATTAGTGAATACACAGCACATACTAGGGTTTGAAAAGTGGCAAAGTAATTAAATACTTCCTTTATTTCACGGTTGTCTAAACAATCCGTTATCTGAAGGGAAAAGCCAGAGTCAGTATTAAAGGTAATGAAATACTTGAAACACTAGTAAGAGAGGACTGAAAAAATATGGTGAGAGCATATCGAGCCAATAATCCAAATCCCTTTGAAAAGCCAGCTTCCTGACACAGGGCAAGGCTGTTGCAGAGTTAAAACCACACTGTCAAAACAAGGGTAGCACTTCAGCTGATCTGTTTAGCAGCTTCCACCATATATCTGCTTTCCCAGTAGGCAAATCAAGAAAAATCTGCAGCAAACCGATCAGCTGCTGCACAGTGCTTCTAATGCATGAAAGATCTAGAAAATGGCACATTCAACAGAGGAAAATAAAAAAAGCAGACTACTTTTAGAAATAAAAAGTAACATATTTCAGAATTAGCCTATTGTAGACTCACTTTCCTGTCTTTCTCCCACCCCTCTATCTTATTAACAGCTGCAAGGGAGGAAAATCTGATTAAACTTCCTCTTTTCTGGTGGCCGGATTCAGACCTCCATGTTCTGCACGGATCCTGTTTCCCACCCCCACAGACCCACATGAGCCTACAGCCCCTCATCTGTCCATGCCCCACGAAGAGCAGACCTGGGCTCTCACAGCTCGGTCATCAGGGACGTCTGCTGGCAGTGCCAACAGGACACCAACGCCTGTGGACACACTTTGGCTCCAGAGAGCTTTGCTGTTGGCAGCGCTCAGGAATCCCTGCCTCTCTTCTCTCTGGAAGGAGGCATACTCCGGAGAGAGGCAGGGAACATATCTGGGAAGATGCCCTGGGAGGAAATGGTGGGGACCGGTGTGGAGCCGTGGCCAGGGGCAGCGACATGGGCAAGCTCAGCAGGCAGTGAGCAGTGCCAGGAACAACAGGAGCCCCGGCTGCCAGGGGCTGTGCCGCCACTCGCAGCAGGACAGGCACCAGATCACAGCCATGAGCCTCTAGAAGTGGCAGTACATCTCCTCTGGCGCCTGCTGGGGCTGGCTACTCGCTGTCCTCCCCACCGCCTGGTGCTTTCCACTGCACCCTCACCTCTGCCCACCAAAATCCTCCACCCCAGGCAAGGCATGGGGACACACAGAATCATAAAATCACAGAATCATTTAGGTTGGAAAAGACCCTTAAGATCATCGAGTCCAACCATAAGCCTAACACTGCCAAGTCCACCACTAAACCATGTCCCTAAGCACCACATCTACATGTCTTTTAAATACCTCCAGGGATGGTGACTTAACCACTTCCCTGGGCAGCCTGTTCCAATGCTTCACAACCCTTTTGGTGAATAAATTTTTCCTAATATCTGATCTAAACTTCCCCTGGTACAATTTGAGGCCATTTCCTCTCATCC